TGAACTTGTAACAATTTATTCTCCTCTAAGTCTTGAGAATCAAAGTCACAACAGTATTTTAAAAACTCTGACCTTATTCTAATCTGCTAAGGCAGCTTCTAAAATGTGGTTAACACAGAATTGGGAGATCATGTCCAGGAAATCCAAATACTAGAAGTAAAGAAAGACACCCTAGGGTCATACATCAGAAAATGATACACAGCAAAGTATTACAACTTTAAGATCTTGACTTTAAAAGATGTTTGTACGCAAATAAATAGTCTTTCTTATAATTCAATCAGGAGGGAACTAGTTTGCCAAAATATAGCCTTGAATTGTGCAACTAGTCTCCTATTTCTTATAAATATACTGCCAAAGACCAACAAAACCCACACTGCTACAGTGAAACCCATCCCTACATTCCATGGCTTCAGGGCTATTTCCACAAACACAGGGTCATAAAAACACAGACTGCAAACTCCTAGAGCCAACACTCCATTTTAAGGATAAAGCTGAAGACAATGCCATGTGATCATGCTGTTACCACAATGTGAGGGTCTTTTTAAAAACTTGGCAAGTATTATTATGCCTACCTTAGAACTCCACCCACAAAATACTATTCAAAACTCACACAAAATAGATCATGAACAAAGTTTGGTAAAATAATGTTTTTTTTTTTTTACTTTGTATTCTTTATGAAATAGGTCACAGTCAGCATATTTATATGCTAATACAACAAAATCTCAGGAAAACAAAATGTTCAAGTCTTTTCCAGTGGCTTATTTACCTCAAAACACAACTTGATACCCCAAAGTTCCTGTGTTCTAAGGAATGTAAATGGTTGGAGTTCAACACATCTCATCAAAGGAAACACTGTATACTTTTGAATTCTAAAAATAAAGGTGCAGATTCCTAGCTAAGTACAAACTTGTGAGTTTTTTTCAATTTTAACAGATCTTAAGCAAGGTAATGGTAACAGTAATAAGATAACTGATATATTCCCTGTAACTATGGGAGATTTAATGTTTCAAATCTCTAAATAATTTATTTTATTTTATACTGTTATAAAAGGTAACAATTGAGAGACTGCTAAACCTTGCTAAAAATTTTGTGTGTATCATTAAAGAATCATTAAATTACATGTTTTAAGGCATGCTGTCAGGTTTTAACTGCTTCTTGATACTATTAACTAGTATCAAGACCATTAAAAAATATTCCAGCAATTCTACATAATAAAGCAGAATAAGTATAATCAGAGACTAATTAAGATGACAGTAAGTTAAACATTTATAACATTAATAATCTTGCCACAATATAAGTTAGTTATTAGGCACAAATCTTCATTAGGCACTGCTACTAGGCATGTTTAAACTAAACCATACAAGGGATTAAAAATAACTATAATAAAAGGCCAACAGCCTAGCAGCCAGGTTGAGCCAACATTCCCTTCTCTCTTCCCCTCCCCTTCCAGTGCCATCCAGTCCAGAATGAATTGCATGCCCCACTGCACAAGCCCCAAAAAGGTCACCAGAGATGGCAGAGACTTTTGTAAGAGAACCGAAATAACTCAACAGCTTTGTTACCGTGGTCTCTTTCAATCAGTATGTTCAAAATCCTTTAATTAGCACTCTGTCTACACAAGAAAAGCATTTCTCTGTGCCAGGGGAGGGCATGTAGGTATGTACAGAGTGTTCCCTCGCATCAGCATCACAACATGGAGCTAGCACCTCAAGCTGTCTGCCAGGGATCTGAAGCACATAAAAACTTTTTAAAGGCATAGGACCACAGAATAGCTATGTGCTCTTCACATCACTACCACCAAATAACAAATTAATGATTGAGTTTGTTTCATTTAGGTGTCAATTCATTTCTGAACGTCCAGTAAAACTTGAAATATTTAAACTAAGGGCTTGAAATATCTTAATAATTTGGCAAGTAAAGGCACCTGAATTCAATCCCCAGAACCCACATGGTAAAAGAAGAAAACTAAGCTCCACAAGACATGCAAACACCCACAAGCATCCACATACACACAAACAATAAACAATGTAAAAAAATTTAAACTAAGCAACAACTTTCTTTAGTAAGTTAAAATAGGAAGTCAAAATTTAATATAAAATGATGTTATTAAAATAAATACATAGTATCTTCCCTTATCACAATCTTTAGAAGAAAAAAGTTACTCCCTCACTTGAATAAAAATAAATTCTAACAAAATGCTTTCACATGGACACTTCACATTTAAAATTAAGCACAAAATGTCTTAAAATTTACAGGCTATATTACTTATGTATATTTCCATGCAAAATATATTAACTAGACTCTAGATGAAAATCTGAAATAAAAACTATTTGCAAATTCAGTCAAGAAACAATCAAAATCCATTGGTAAAAGAAGATTTGTAATATTTTAACAGAGATATGCAAATGTCACTAATTTTTTATTATTCAAAGTTAACTTGGATCATATGTATATACTGTAAGAATATATGCATATATATATACTTTTTTTTATACATACATATGTAACTGAAGGATATCACAGCCTTGAGGCCCAGGCATGGTGGCACATGCCTGTAACCCCAACACTCAATAAGTTGAGGCAAAAGGATCACATAATGAGTTTGAGGCCCATCTAAGCTATAAAGCATGACCCTGTAGCAAAAAAAAAAAAAAAAAAAAAAAAAATGTAAAAGAAAAAACGAAGGAAGGAAGGAGGGAGGAAGGAGGGAGGGAGAGAGGACAACGAGGACAGAGAAGCTGAGAGGAAGGAGGAAGAAAACCATATCCTTCTAAATATCTGATCGAGGAACAACGAAGGCAACTATACTTAAGATAAAGCAAATTATTAGGATGGCAACTGAGCTTGGCTGCTGGAAAGTCAGCTCTTCTATACCAGCCATGAACTCAGCAGTTTTGGCCAATGGGAATAATGCCAGTATTCCAAAGGCTGGTATAAGGATTAAATAAGATGCATTTATAATGCTTGCCAGAAAAACAAAAAATTTCTCAGTAAGAATAGGACAGGAGTGGAAGGAACACAGAATAATAATTTTCATGCAGTGTGTAAATGTGGCAATTAACACAATTTATCAAAATGGCCCACCAATGTATGTGTGTACGTGTGTGTGTATATAGTATTTACCATAGCACTGTCTGCAATAGCAATATTAGAAACAACATTAACATCTTTCAGGATAGAACTGGTTACATAAAGGTCACGTCTAAAAAAAAGCCTTTTCATATACTATTAAAGAAAGTTCTCTATGGTAACTTGCTAAGAAAAAAGAAAGACATGAGAACTATATATAATATGCTATTATTTGAGTAAGTGTAAAATTTATATTTAACAGAATAAAGACTTTGGAAAGTTTCCACCATCAAAAAATGATAAATGTGGGGCCCGATGGTATAGACCTGAAATCCCACTGAAGCAAGAAAATCACAAGTTTACAGACTGCCTGCATTAGGAGATTTAGTCTCAAAAAAAAAATGCAAAATGAGGGTTAGATACAGCCCAGTGGTAGAACCTTTGCCTAGCATCTATGAGGCCATGGGTTCTGGCCCCAACACCAAAAAAAAAAAAAAAAATCCACACAAAAAAATGTTTGAGGGGATAAATGTTTAACCTGATTTAAACAGTATGCAATGTATATACACTTCAAAAAATTACAAGACAAATCATTACTATGTATAATATTTATATCAGCTAAAAGGAAATTTAATAAAAAGAAGAAATTCATATTAATCTAAATATACAAAAAAGTCTCCTCTAGCCAGGCAAGATCTCCTATCACTCAGCAGGCAGAGGCAGGCAGATCTCTTTGATTTTGAGGCCAGCCCATTCTACATAGGGAGTTAAGACCTGTCTCAATTAATTAATTAATTAATAATTAAATAAATAAATGTATTTAAATAAATAATAAATTCCTCCTGGAAATTACACAAGTACAAGGCTGGGGAGATGGCTCAGTGGGTAAAAATGCTTGATCTGTAAGCATAAGGACCTGAGTTCTAAACCCAGCACACACATTAAAAACCACACAATGTCTATATTGGGGTACAAAGAGAGGCAGATCCTGAGAAAGCTGGCTGGTTGGCCGACTAGTGAGCTTCCCATTCAGTGAGAGACCCTATCTCAACGCAATAAGGCAAAGAGCAACAGAGGAAGAAGCACCCCATGTCCTATTCTGGCCTGTACACGAGTGTGGGCACCCTCACCCACATATATGCGCACACACACACACACACACACACACACACACACACGCACACACAAGAATAGTAGTAATTAAATAATGGAGAGTGAAACTGTGCTGACACTGTAAAGCCTCAACAAGTAAAAGTTGTAATTATTCCTTTCAAAGAATCACCACCAAAACATTCTAAAACAAAATGCATTCAACTTAATCCCTGGTGAGGGAGAGTAACATCCCAATTACTCATAGGCTAGCAATCTGGCTGGAAATCTACACCCTTCCTCCTCTCAGCAGCAGTAGGTGGCTTCTGACCACCTCACTGCTAACTATCCAGATGTGAGTTAAGAAAAAACATCAAAACCAGTCTTATCAATCATTTTAATAAAACAGTTTTTGGAAGTGAACAAGGCCACTAAAATGTGATAGTACAACACCATAAGAGTATGTATGAAGAAACTAAGGTGAAGAGAATTCCCGAAAACCAAGGGCAGTTCAAACATTTAGAGTTCTTCCTCAGTTACATGTTTGTGTGGTTTAATTTTGGTAACATGAGAGAAAACAAAAATAAGCTAAACTGAAATAAAGCATCCTTACTAAGCACTGCCGCCCCCCCTGCCC